GTTCATCTTCTGTCTGAGCAGGATAAACTTTTCAAAGAACATGTTTCACTGCAACGGTAATGGATGAACAGCTTCAGAGTTAAGGATTAGAAATGAACGGGAGCTGCAAAGCTCAGATCTGGCCAAGTCCTGATGCTCCCAAAAGTTAGCTAGACCATGAGTGTTAAAACAAGAATGTTTGGCTCACTCCATAATAAAAAAAGGTAGCTATTTTCTCATGTCTTTTTTACAAACTGCATTGCAAGCTGAATTACATTTTGCAAATCTAGAAAATTCATAGAAATTATGTGATGCACTTTGGGTCCAGATACATCTTAAAACTGGACCTGCTTTCTCCCATAGCCCATCAGCTATCATTTAAACCCCTTATCTGAAAAGAACGGGAAATATTTGAATTCGGTGACAGGAAATGACTTCAAAGAAAACTTAGCAGCTGCTTAAGAACAAATCACAAGGAACAGGAACATGGGAATGACCAGAGCTGGAGAAAGGATAACAACACACATGAAGATCTAAACAGGGACGTTTCCAGGTAAGTAAAATCCGAAAAGGAAAAAGAAAAAAACCCTCAGCCGTAAGATAGAGTTTAACCAGTCTGAAAAATATCAGGTAACTACTTCTTTCCCTCCTCCTTCATAAGAGTCAGAAAGAAGTGTAGACCAGAAAAAATAGGTGCTCACAAACTGCTTTACTCATCCTTTTTGTGTTGTGAGATAATTTGCTTTAAGCATCAAGGGTTACACAGTGGAGGCAGAAAAAAGCTGTAAAAAGACTGGGCTGGTTATTTTCAGGGATTATTTGAAGTGGCTTGGCTTTACCTTCTCCAGCCTCTGTGTCAGACCCAGTACTCTGGTAAAGGTGAGCGTTGCCTTGGAAAAGCAGAGAGAGGGAAGGTTTTCAGTCCTGCATTCACTCACAGTCAGTAACCACCCTGAGTAGCCAGAGCAGCTCATCACTTTGCTCTCTTGCAGAGTTTATCTAAACTAGTGAGCATGCAAGAACTGCATATGACCTTGCCTATGCTGGAATTTCACCTCACGTGCAAGCTAACAATCAGAAACACCCTCACCTTTTTTTTTCTGTTGAGGTTAAACCCTCAGCAGTCATCCCCAACTCCTCACGCAGCAGGATCTCCTAAAGATAGACGCATGACATTACAGGGAGAGTTCTTGCAGGAGGTTCCCAGCATTCCACACGTTGCAAAGGCTTTCCCCAGTTGCCAAAGAGGGCAGGGCTGCCAAGGGGTGGGAGAAGGAGGCTTCATTTATGAGCTAGTTTTAGGTCATGGTTGGTCCCAATAAATATTTGCTTGTCATAAGTCACTGTTGTAAGGAATGTGAAAAAATAAAATCCCAGGGCAGTGAGCAGGATGGGGAATAAATCATCTGAATCAGAGCATACTGAACACCACCAACAGCCTGGTTGCTGGTTTTCACAGTGAGGTGGGCAGCCAGATGCAAGCACAGAACATAGTGGTCATTGTGTGTCATCTATGAAACAGCAATGTAAGGACAAACAGGGCCTGAAAGAGTCTGTGTGAAGAGATCTCACACAGAAAAAGAAGTGAGAGGAAAGGAGGAAGGGGTAGGAAAGTCTGTTGGGAAAATGGGGGAAAGGCATGAAATACACAAAGGCAGCCCCCCATCGCCCCATTGCCTGAAGGAACAGAGACCTTCAGTACCTTCAGCCACAAACATTCAACAATGTGAAATACACCAGGTTATGTTTGTGTGTGTACGGGAGGGGAGCAGCTGAGGATTTGAGATTCCTGCAGGCTTAGAGGCCAGGCTGCTCTGTCAAGTATGAACAGAGGATGTTTCTCAGCGAGGCTTTGATTTCTCAGAGCTGGGAATATTACAATAAATTAATAACCTAAAAATACAGTTGGTAGCTCCACGGGAGAATTGAAACATGCTTTTTTTTTTTTTTTTTTTTTTTTTTTTCCAGGAGAGAACTGTGAATATTCACACCCACAGAGAAGAAATACACAGAGCAAATCTGCAAACAAACCACACAGCTTCCACCTGGAGAATTTTTTTCTTCATCCTATCATAGTCCAACAGTTTTCATGCACATATATGCGTTTTGCCTGCTCTGAAGACCACATGCATCCATACCTTCAGGCAGCAATCCAAACAGCTGAGAATGACCAGGATTTCTTTACAAGTCTCAGCCAACACATAAACCAGTTCACCACCATTCCTGTCATGGACTCCATCCCTTCCTCACCCTCCCCTGGCATCCCAGGTAGTGAACTTTTAGAGATTGGAATCAATGTTCAGAAGCTGAAAAACCAGAAAAGGCTGTGCAGGATCTTTCATGAGCCTGCTCAACACCACTCTGCCATCAGTCCAGTCTTCTTCTTCCTCCATAGTTCAGGCAGATAAAGCTGGGTTTTTCTGTTTGCATTGTGGAATGCTTGGCACTTCTGCATATATCCGCCATTGCCTAGATCACTTGTTCATCACAGCTTTTAATTTTTTAGAATATAAATCATAAAGTGCAACATCAGGGAAAGGCTTAAGAAGCAGAAAGAAAATTTGAAGAACTCTAACTTAATTGGCTTAAGCTGCCATTTATGCAATAGGTCAATGGTGTAATGTGCAACTGATTGGAGCAGTTAATACTGCAATAGTCTATTCAAAGTAGTCTCAGTTAATCTTCTGTAAAATCCTGCCGTATTTTCTCTATACTGAGCGCAGTACTATAATCACGCCACATTTAGATGTAGCAGGAAGGAAAAGACCTCTGGGTCTGAAGCAAAAGAGGAGAGGAGGAAAATAATGTTTGAAATTACCTACTTCTGTGGTCCTGAGGTTTTCTCCAGGCCACATCTCCAGCCACAGCCATATGCAGAAGGCCTTGCTAGTCTCCAGAAAGTCCCATAGCCAGCTGTTCCACCCATTTGCAGAGCTACTTGAGTTTCAGATATAACTTGAGCAAGAGACCTTTACGCAGGAGCACAGCTATCCACAAAGGCTGTCATGACTGAGGGGTTATTGGAGGGGTTTGGCCTAGCAAGGACAGAAGCTGTGTGCCTGCACTGTCCTTCATCTCACATTTCTCTCCTCTCTGCTGTTGTATTTGGCAGGGATTTGCAGTTCATGGCAAGTAGCAGAGAACCCAGTCTTTGCTATTGCTGCCTAACTTAGGCAGACACTGATTCTCTTTAGATTTCTCTAGATTTAGATATCAGTGTAGCTTTCAGCAATATACACATAAAAAAACTCCCCTACCACCAAACTCCCCCACCCCCCCATTTCAAAAACAAACGCAGACCACTGACATACATGGTCCACATGGTTTATTCATGCCTCAAGTCTCACAAAAAAGTGCTGGACTAATTTACTTAGGGAAATTGCTGAGAGTCCAGGGTCTCCAAGACAATCACCACCCCACTAAACCAGTGGAGTGGCTAATCCACAGGGATTTTCCTTTCTGAAGGCATATTCATACAAAAAAACCCTTCTGTGTTGCAAGGACCCGTTTCTTCCTCAAGCTCTTTGTCCTCAGAACTGCCTCTTTCTCTTCCCCAGCACCCTAGCAAGGGACTGTTCAGCTACAGCATTTCTGTAGCACTGTGCTTTGTACTCTGATCTTCAGGATGGGTTATAAGACTTTAGAGCCTGCCTTTGCACTGCCCCAGATGTCCCAGATACAGACCTTTATCATTTCCCCTTCCCAAACACACAACCTGGAACAAGAAAACAATTTCACTTCCACTTCTTTTTAATAGTATTTTGGTGAATATACAAAAACAAAGAATCAGGGCAGCTGGCAAGTGTCAGGACCTGAACCAGCACACCTTAGGAAGAGGCTTCACCTTAAAATGCTCTATACAGGAGCATATTTCACACGGCACATGTACTTACTGAAGTGTTCACTAAGAAAGACACCAGATCAGTCTAGGCCAAATTAAACTGCCTCTGTTGAACTGAGTGAGAACTGTAACTGCTGATGCAAGGACTGGATTTGGTTCAAAAGTTAGCCCCTTGCTTGCATTTTTCACAAGAGTTACTCGTTGCCCTTATTTGCCTTTTGTCCTACCTGATCCAGGCATGTGGAAGGGGAAGTACACAGGGCACATGACCATACACATGCAGGTAGCCGAAGCAAGAAGCATGGTAATCTAGGGCATGGGACAGCCACTTTGAGAAAGCCAATTACGCCACAGGAACCCTCGAATTCCGCACAAATTCTAGCCCATAGATGTGTGAAATCTTGTGTGGGGTACATAACAGCTTTTTGAAGGAGTTGCTTGTTAGCAAGTGGAGCTTTTCCTGGACTGGCACTTCTGAAGGTAGGAGCACATGCAGTAGTTTCACCAGTGATAGGAGGTAGGCTTGAATATAGGCAGCATATTACTGAGGAGTGAGCTAGCCTTTTATTTGGCTTGACTAGCAACAGACTTTTTATCTGTGACATGTCTCTACTGCTGACACACTTAAACTCTTAGAGGATCTACCTTATTCTAAGGCAAGGAGTGACAGAGACTGGGAATGGAAGCTGAACAATAAAATATATTATAGAGGTCTGCAGTCCTCTCCCTTGCAGCATCTGTCTCTATTGGTCACAGGAGGTTCCAGTTTTGCTCACATAGCCCTTGCTGGAACCTTTAGTATTAAGGTTTATATTCAGCTAGTTTTAGAGAGAGATTTTTCTGGAGCAAGTGTATATGGACACTTTCATTTCTGATGTCATCACAGAACAAATCAGATGACCTCTTATCTTATGCTCCAAGGATTTCTTGCACAGTGAAAGAAGGGTTATGCCTCAGCCAGGAGGCACTAAGGCTGAAGAACAAGGGGCAAAGAAGGGACAACAAGACTTTTTCCTAGAATCATCAGCTCTGTGTGTCAAGTTTTTGGAGGGGCAAAAGTATATATGGGAGAGGTAGTGGGAAAACTTCAAATCCTCCACGGCATAAGGAGAACGAAGCAGGAGATGAATGAATGCGTTTTCACAGAGTGCTTCAGGACAGCGCTGAGGACACCTTGCCTTCAGTATTCAATTCTGCTCCAGTAGAACATGGTACCAAGGAGAACGAAGAACTGAAATGACAAGACTAATAAGTTTCTTGGCTCCCCATTTCCTTCTTCCAACCTTTCCCCCAGCTCCATTTAGTCCTACTTGTAGGAGAGAGCAACAGAAATTCTTAATAAGCAAAGTCCATCCAGGCAGAGGAAGCTTAAACCTTTTTATCTGCACAGAAACTTCGCAGTGAAGAAAGAAGATATGTGCAGCTGTAACTGTTTGACTGGATCACTCAAGTCGCTAGGGATTATCTGTCAAACCTTGAGTACTTAAAACACTCATACAAAGTCTTTGAACTAGAAACTGAACTATTTGTCATGATTACTGTTTAGATGATCCAATACCCTTCACAAACACGTATCTGCAAAGCTCTGTTTGCTGTGTTGTATTGCTGATATGGCAGCAGGCCACAGCAGGCTGGGAGGCCATCTAGCTCCTTACTTGTGGAAGCCAGAATGGAGAGGAACAAGTAAATGCAGCCCTGTTAGTGGAACAGGCTACAGGCAGGTTGGTGACCAATGAATAGCTATAATCTACAGACATTTTAAATGCATCAGTCCTGTCATCCACCTCCGCCCAACTGGGTGTGGAATAGCAAGAAAAGGAAATAAAGACAAATATTAAGTACTCACAGTCCAGCAGAGGATGGCAAAACCAAACCAGGCAACACCCCAGGCATGTGTGTTCATTGGCCCAGAAATAGCATCATAACAACCCTGTAAGACAACCATGAATGCATCAACACCAGCTTTGAGCTTGTACTGCAAGGCAACAGTCTCCTCCACCTCTGGGAGGAACTGAATGGCAGGCTCCTCTCCTATTGCAATTTGGGTAGCTCACAGTGTCTCAAGAAGACGAGCCAGAGCTACACTTCTTATTGACAGCTTGCAGATAGCCTGCCTGTTTCTATCTCCAAATATAAAGTAGACTCATCTCAGACACTTCAAGGACAACTTCCTGTGCCATCCACTTGCCAACTATACATATATAACCAAACACAGCCAATACAGAGTTTGCCTCCAGAATCAAGAACCTGCAGGCAAATTTGGAAGCTTGAACACCTTCTAGGAATGCTTGCTAGTGCAGAAGTTGATGCTTATGACCCAGCAAACTGTTTCAATAGGACAAGCTGGTCTACTGAAAAGTTCTGTCTTGAAGAGCAGAACTGCTGACTTGCTCACTCATATTGTATGCACTCATCTTTGGGCCTAGTTTGATTCAGCTACTGTCCATCTACATGTTGGAGATGTCACTTCTTACTGATGGCATTGGGAGAGTTTTCTTAATAGTTGTCTCTCCATCATCCTGAAAGCCTTTATTACAACCTATCCTGTGTTCAGCAGCATGGCCAGGACCATACAAGCATTGCTTTTCCTCCAGAAAGCTTTTGAACACCTGTAGCTTACAGTGGAGGAGGAAGGTTATTCACTGTTTCCTTCCCTTCCAGCAAGGCACTTCTGACCAACACGTGTTAACTGGAAAAAGCGGAGAAGATCTTACATTGCTGTTATAGTAGCCGGGGATTCCAAGCTTGCAGCCATCGAGGTTGACAGGAGACCCTTGGGCATCCATGACACAGCAATTGCGTGGCCAAGGGAAGTCGGCATCGCTGTGCGTGACACGGAAGGCAGATGTGTAATCCTGCCAGTCGGAGGGGCCCCGCACCCCGCAGCACTGGTTCTGTGGGGCAAGAGAAGGGATCGCTCTTTATGGGCTCAGGTCACAGCCCTGGACACAGCCAGACCCTGCACATGGCTGGTTAGGCATTAACCACAGATTTATGGGAGAGATTTTTGAAGTGCCTGCCTTTGACAGCCTGCCATCTGATAAACGAGCAGAACAGGGAGTGTGGCAGGACTCTCTCTAAGGTTCAGGGCAGATGCTGTCCTCTTCATTACCGAGTGGCCCCAAGGAGGACTTGAAATTCCAGGGTTGCAGAGCATTTAGTAATTAGTGAGAGTTTTCAGTGTTGTTATTACCTGAAGCATGAGTTTATCCCATGTCTTTGTGACCCCTTTAGTCATCCAGTTGTCATTGTTATTGTCTGTCTCTGACTTCTGATACCTCTCCAGCATTTGCTTCAGGAAGAGATTTGGAGTGAGCTACAGAAAAAAAAAAAAACAAACAAAAAACAACAGAGAAGAATGCAGAAACTATGTAAGTAAGTGGCCATGTAAAGCAAATATAGGGTTATTTGGGGTGGGTTTGTTTGCTTGGCTCAGTGTCCTGATAGAGAACAGGAATGCTGCTTCTCCCCGAATTTCACACATAGGAGAATAAAAAGCAGGATTTGAGGAGCAGGAGCAACAAAGATGTAGATCTTGAGCACAGCTCTTAAGCAGGCTCTACCAGATATCAGATCACAGGAGACGTGCAGAAGCTATGGGTTACATTTGATATGTTGCTTGGAACTAAAGCACCACAAGTCATTTCCTTCCCTGCCAATGTCTCAAACAACCCACGTAATCTCTCTCTCACTAGTACTAGTGCCTGGGGCAATGCTGAAGATTTTTCTTCTGCATGTATGATAGATTAATCAATCTGTAGCTGAAAGACTAAACACTGTATTGATGATTCAACTAACCCACGCTATTATTTACTTAACTACAAGGTTGTTGTAAACATTTTAAAATGTTAACAATAACAAAACTATGCTAAAAAGAACAAAGTTATTTCCTTGATTAGAATAATTATATTGGAGAATTTCCTTGTGGGGTCTTATTCTGACTTAGCAGCAGTCCTTTTACGCTGTACCACCACACAGGCCACTTACTATGCTGAACAGGACTGTCGTGTACCCTAGAACCGCAACAGTTGCAAGAATACGTGAGGAAAGAAATACTCACAAAGTCTCGGTGAGTTGCTGCTGTGATGCAAGAAGCCATTTCAAATGCATAAGTGATCAGCATCAGAATAACATACTGTGGGAGACAGACAGCAGAGTTAGTTCTTGGAGAAACAGCTAAGTAGTTTTTTTCAAGATTAAGCCTGAAACCCTGCTCAAGACAAAGGAGGCCAGGCTACCCTAGTCTCCTCAGTCCTCTCCATGCCCCTGAACATTCATGCAGCTCCTCCCTGTGCTTGTTTCAGTTTGCAATCTGCTTTCTTGAAAGTGTATGACTGGAATTGTTCTCCATCTCACAGACAAGATTTCATCAGAACCTCATGGCATTAGTACCGCCCTGCCTCTATGGAAAATACTTTGCCTGATATACCTAGAAAACATTTGCCCTTTTCTTTATTGCATCTCATTGGCAACTTATCCTTGTGCCATCTCTTCTCCTTCCACTTCCACTTGCCAGCTACAAGCTTTTCAGCAAGAAGCTGTTCACTCCTAGCAGGAGAGCTTGTACTTTGGGGAAAGAGAAGCTGCAATTTAGGGTGTCATTCAGATCCCCCTGATTTTGCATAGTCAGACTTCCTCAGCACTCCTACTGTGTGAGCAAAGAACCTTCATGAAAACAGATCACCTCCATAGTCTATTTCACTGTTTCTCTTCCCTTTTCAATACAATCCCTTTAGCCTTTCCCATATTCCCTTGGAAGTTCTTGTGTCTCTATTTCTCCTCCCACATTTTACAATGTTCTTCTCAGATTCAAGGTATTTGTTTCTTTCTTATCCCAGCTTCTTCCCCTTATACCCTCTCTTATCTCCTATACCACTTGGGTTTCAGCCAAGGCACTAAAATTCAGAGTTAAGGGAATTCTCTTCCCTCAGCTGTTCACTGGCAAATTCCCTGGCACAAGAGTTCAGATCTCTGTGTCTGTTGTTTAAAACAGACACCCTTCCATCCTTCCATGCTATATCAATCCAAGAGAGAGCCGACTCCAGAGTTTTCAGCTCTTCCCTTTGTTAATGCAAGCATCAATTAAGTTTTGCTATTGCCAACCTAAAGGACTAAGTAAGAAATCATACAGAGATTTGTTCACACGTTAACATTGTCCTTGGCTTATCCAAAGCTCTCTGTCCCCACCCCTGTAATTTCTGCCTGCCTGCTGATGTCTAATGTTCTCAATTGCACCCATATTTGGTATACTAACACATACTAATCCCTTGTACAGAAGTCATTACTTATCAGCTCCTAAACTGAATAGCATGTGACAGCTGAAAGGCAGTAAGGGGTGGGGAGAAACAAGGATCTAAACCACATCCCAGCTACATCTGATTGCACAAGTGCTTCTGCATTGCTTCATGGTAAGGTCAGGGTCAAGCCAGTCAGCTTGAACCTCCATTGTGGCTATCACCATTAATTCCCTCAACCTGGTTTGGGAGCTCCTCATGCATGTGTCCTCACTGTGAGACACCACAGCTGTGATCAAGAAGAACCTTTGGCTCCTTATCACTGATAAATCTGTCTTTGCTCAGTGGGTAATTACCAAGGTGAGCAGGGAAACCAAGGTGGCATTTTTTTCTGTTTTGCAGTAATAGGTCGGCAAACTTTGCTACACTTACCACCAGCAGCAAGGTCCTGTTTGACTTAATGACTCCAATGATACCGAGGATAGACAGAGCAAAGAGTGCAAAACCGACAAAGATGCCAATCCAGGCAGCAGCATAGATGTCATCATTTTCTGTGGCTTCCAGCAGAGGGTAGAGACCATTGGGATCAGACACAAAGAAGATGCACTCAGCTGTCAGGGCAATGCCACACATCTGAGAAGTGGGAGTTTGGGATATCCATTAAGTCAAGCTTCCCCAAAGAAATAGCAGAGACAGAAAAAGATGGAGACCTCTTTCCTTTCATTCAATCTCCTGCCAAACAGGAGCTACTCAACTCGTCCTCTGCCCAACTCTACAATCTCTTGTATTGTGCCTTCACAGAAGAATTGCAGGAAAAACTCACCCAACCTAGACCTAAGAGGTCAAGCCTAGGACTTGAGGATGTTAAGAAAGAATTAACAGAACGCTTCCCATCACTATATGGAGGGAGGTGGCTGGAAAGATGTTGGTCATCAGCAAGGGATCTTCCCCTAGAACTCATGTTGGTCTTGTGGATCAGCTCCTGCTGCCCCTTGCTGTCCCCTCCCCACTCAACTGATCAGCTCTCCTTTACCCCTCCTCTCACACTTTACTGGTCTATTTATGTGTGGACCTCACACGCGAAGAGGGATTTCATGTCTAGGAACTGCTATTTTAAGAAGTGACATACTGGAAGGAAGCCTCCATCCACGCTTGTCTCACTTCACTTACCCCAATGACCACATTCCCAAAGACTAATAGACCCTGCAAGATCCGTATGCCGTCATCACTTTTTGCCATCTTTAATTCTTCATGCAACCTGGGAAAAACCAAAGACAATCTTCAGTTAGACCAGTACAGTAGGCTTCACTCAGAAAAAGAAATTATCCCTGAGGTGAAGGATAGACAGAACCTGCCAGCCTATCTGTACACCTCCCATCCCTTGCTTCACAGTAGTTTCAGAGGAGAAACTTCCCCAGATGTGAACCTGGTAACTCAAACTGTCCCTTATACTTGAGCTACAGAAGACTGGGACCACGCTGGGGCAGCCAGTGTCTTTGGCTCCCTTTTGGGTAGGGTTTTCATCATCACCCATGCCAACCTCAGCTCATGCTGTTACATTTTCACCTGGCTAGAAACACCAGCTACACCCAGATGGACAGGGGACAAGTTCAGTGCCCTCACCTTGCTCCTCTTCCAAAGGAGCTGGCTTTACCGCAGGGTATGCTATCTACCCCACTGGCTGTTCCATTTCGGCCAGCACTGCCATGGCACCAAACTGGTAACCACAATGCTTTAGCTATGCCACACACATACCTACAGCGCACGGCTTGGCAGCACCTTTGCTAAGGGTAGTCCCATCTCACACCCATGCCAGGAACTGGAGCTGGGCCCCCCATTCCTGGTCAGGTGTGAGGGAGGGAGGGAGCAGCTCAAGCTGCAGCTGGCTCATGGGAGCCAGGCCAAGCAGCATTCCCACCAAATTCCTGAGAGCGTTATATCCTGCAGGCTGGGCCAGGTGCCCCGTGTCGAATTCATCCCCTTTCACAGAGAGTGGCATAAAGGCACCAGTCAGAGGTATAAGACCTCTTGGAGAAACAAGCCCAGATGCCAGCACCAACAAAGTCCTTTCAAAGGGATGGAGCATGTGTGTGCATGGGGAGGGGGAGAGAAAAAAAAAACCCAACCCAGCTGCATTTGCTGGGTGGTTAAGAAAATGTAAGCTGCAAAAGAAAGGCTGAAGTGACACCAACTTGAGCAGATAACAGGAAAAGCAGCCTGAACACCCTTCTTCTGACAGAGTACCTGCACTAGTGCCTTCTCTTGCTGGGGTTGCTGACTCTAGGATTCTTCAGAAAGCTGTTGGAAAATGGAACAGACATAGATGTCAATGAAGAGGAGTTTCTTGAGGAACAGATCACTGTGGGACCTCTCTAACAATGCCACCTTCCGCCTCCTCAGCAGCTGCCCTTTTAGGGTAGGCAGCACTTCCAACAGTGACACAGGGAAAAACAGAATTTCTTACTACTCTTTCTGCAGTGGTTTGCGTGTTAGGCACGGAGAGATCTCCAGTGCTCTCACTACTATACCAGCAGCAGAGCACATTTTTGCATGATAGCATGAGTGGGGATTGCCATTATTTCCAAGGTAAGAAGCCATTTTTATTCCCAGCCAGGTGGTTAGAGGCCAGCCCAACACATCTGAAGCTGCACAGGTCTGCTCTTGAAAATGGCAGGCTCACGAGGTCAACCTGAAGCTCTGTCCATACTAAACTTGTTGACTAACCAGCATGACCAGAGGCCACATAAAATAGCCTTGCAGGTCAGACCTAGGTCTAAGCAGTGTTTGGCCACATATGGTCTGCAATACAACACTGCAGAGCTTGCCAAACTTGAGACAGACACTGGTCCCCTACTCATCTGAAAGCTGTAGAGATCACCACCTGGCTCATGGGTCTTTGTGCTGTAAACTCCAGAGATTTTAGAAAAGCCTTTAGTTGTTGCTGGCTAAAAGATATCACAGGTCAGAGTGCAGTCCAAAAAGCAAGGAAAAGTCCCCTGCGCAAGTGCAGGCATATGAGCTCTGACCAGTACATGGAAAAGCAGGTCTGCTCCAGCTGCCATGTAAACAGCAGGGTTGATTATAGCATGTGGCTAGCATGGCAGATCACACCAAGCATGATTAACAAAGACACAACACTTTCCTTAACATTGCAGGAACTCTTTCTCCCTCCCTTTCTCTCCTACAGTCCCCTCTGCAGTGCAACAGCACTCACACTTTGTACATGTGCTGTCCACCCAGCCTATGTGCTTTCCTGCCCACAAGCTGACTTTCTCCTCCTCCGTGGCAGGTGGGACCTGGCTCTCTCTTGCCTCTCCTTGGGCAGGCGTGCCGGTCTGAGAAAGCAAGCCTCTTCTCCTGGGGCAAGTCCATCTCCTAGGCTACTGTAGCTGGGAGGAAAGCTGGACATAGTCACCACCACACAGATATCACCTGGAGAGCTGCAAGCTTCTAGGTGACCTAAGGCTCTTCAGTACCTTACCTAAGACTAATGGGATTGTAGGGCAGGGGAAAGTGGAGAGATGGGGAGTAGGAAAAGGAAAGGAAGAGCCTTTACTGTAGACCTAAAAATGAATACTCTAATGATGTTGTCATATTAGTATGAATTCTCCCTCTGCCTCCAAGTGATCAGCACCGAAGGAGTTAATTTCTTGGTGTTCATTCTTCAATCTCCTGTGCCACATGTAGTAACCCCTTGTCTGGACCCTTCTCTGTTGTAGAGCGTCTAGTATTAGCATTACGATTGAGACACTGGGGAGGTGCTCCAAGGCTGTGACAACACCTGGGCAGCTGGAGAGCTGACCCTCCAACACACCCCAGAGGAGAAGCTGCAAGAGACCTGGGGCTTTCCACCTGCTGCCTGCTCCTCACACCTCAGTGGTAAGCTGCGTCAAGCAAGAGTAGTTTACAGAGCACTTGGCGCAGGTGCATGACTACAGAGGCGTGAGGCAAACCTTGGCTGGCTTGCCCAAGGCAAGCTGCATGCCAGTATGACTCACAACCACCTTTGGGTGTGACATTGGTAGGCAGTCCTCCTCCCAGCCCCCAGAGAGATAGGCGCCAGCAGCTTCTGCCTGCGGGCACAAATCAGTTTGGAGGTAGAGGAGCCTTTTTCATGGCTGGTTAATATTAGTTTTATGACCTAAATACAGTTTCCTGGGGCACCTGAGGAAACTGGAGCTTCAGCTGCAACCGTTATCCAAAATCTCCACACGAGAAGGCAGGCAGGTCTTGGGATTTCAGCCTTGAGCTTGCATGGACCTGGTGTTCCTCAGCACATCCTGAGAACCTTGCAATCTAGATGTGACCCCTCTAGGTCCCATGTATTAAATTACCACTACCACAGACTTTGCTCCATGCTCCAAGCAGCTTTGGACAGGTGTTGCTCCCATTGTACCACAAAACCTACATCCATCCTTAAGCACATCCTTCTTCCTCTTCCTTATGCCCTGGTCGCAACCCAGACCGCAACTTCTCCCCACTTCTCTCCCCTCACACCCCCAAAACGTTCCTGCACTCATGGGTGTCCAGCTGAGCCTGTCAGAACTCAGGAACAGTGGTAGCTCTGCCTCCCCCTGTTCCTCCACGACTTGCAGGCAGATCTGTTATTTCCACACCCTCAGAGCTTTCTTGACCTCTCCTCTTTTCCTCTGCTCACAGTGGCTCTGCAAGTCCTGCAGCAAGCTGAAAAGGAAGCTCCTTTCTGCAAAGGCTGGTTTCTGCCCTTGTATTTTAGGTGATAACCCCATGCAGGCTTTCAAAGGAAGCCCTGCTCACAACAGTTCCTGGATTCAAACAGAATTCTGTCTCTGTTGTGTATCCCTCACACACGTTGAGCTGGTTGATCTTTTGAAGCCTCCATACCCTCTTTCTACAGATTGGGACAGGATTTCAGTAGCCTTACAGATGAATGCCCCCTGCTTAGCCTAGTCCTACTCCATCTCTAGCCAAAAAAAAGCCAATGGGTAAGATTTGGTCGCATTTTGATTGCTTTGCATTTTGTGCCAGTTGTCATGGTGGAGTCATGGCACTGTGACCAAGGGATGTCCAAAACCACCCTTGCGAGCATCATTTGTTTCTATGCCCTGCTCTTGAAGGTCTCTCAATGCAGTGGCAGGGCTTACGGGGCTTTACCTCACCCCTTCCGATCTGCTTTTGCTTCAGCGTCCCTGTGCAGGGCGTTGCATTCTCATCCCCTGGTGTAAAGAGGCAGAGACAAGGGACACATTTGTTTTATGACTCATGGGCTCTGCACGCCTTGGCCGAAGGGCTCTGCACCGCTCAAGCAAAACTAAACAAACCCAGCCATTCAACGGCAGAAACCTGGTCCTTGCCTGTACCCGCCTCTGGCGCAGAAGCCCGGGCACTGCACCTCCTGCCCCTCACGCTCACTTGTCCTGGCTGTAAAGCGTGTCTCTACAGGCAGGAGCGAGCTGCCTGGGCTGGGGCTGGGGTGCTGACAGAGGGAAGCCAGTGGGGTGGAACCGCTGCTGGAGGTACCGTGCTGGTGCCAGTGCTGTGGGAAGCCTCCGCTAGCCATAGACCTGCCCACACCCTGACCTGCTGTAGGCTCTGATGCATCGTGGCTCGAGGGGCCAGACAGCAATAAAACTTTTTTGTTTTTTGTTTTCATTCAATTGGTTTTAGCAGAAAATTTAGCCCCTCAGGGGCTTAAGAAGGAAGGTAGTTTCCAAGTGTTTGGGATGTCTTCAGAGTTATACAGTTCTAAGAGATGCAGTTAAACACAATATTGACTAATTGCTTGGACTCTGCTGTAAGAAGCCAAATGTTTACAAGTGTAAACTCATCATTCGTTTACTTATTTTAAAGCAAACACCTCCAGCGCACACAAAACCACTCACTACTCCTGCCCACCGGACCTTCCCCATTGTTCCACCTGCCCCAAAATGCAGCCACCTCTGACAGAGAACAGCTTGTGCACTGGCATTCAACCACACTCAGAAAAGGAAGAGTCAGCCAGTTATTTTGTGCTACCAGGGGAGAAAAATAAAGCAAAACCAAAGCTTAGCATCAAGTGGGGGTCAGAGACTAATTAAGTTTCCTTTTGAGAGAGATTGCTATGAAATGAAGCCTGTATGAACAGTGGAGTGGCTGGTAAATCATCATCAAGCATAATTACCTCAGAAATAGAGCTGGGAGGTAGGTTTTTCCTCTCTCCCTCATTAGTTCTGCACAGCCAAAACAAGAAGGGGTTTTTTTTTTCTTTTCTATTTTCACAAGTGAGGGGGAAT